TTATGACTGTGAGATCCTTTACCATCCGGGTAAAGCGAACGTTGTGGCGGACGCCCTGAGCCGCAAGTTAGCTGGATCTTCTGTTCCAGCATCATGTATGAGGATATTTGTAGATTCTCCACTGGTGAGCTTGATCAGGGAAGCTCAGGCTGAGGGTGTACGACAGGAGAACTGGGATCTTGAGAGGATTAGAGGCAAGATCACCCGATTTATGCAGGACAGTCATGGGTTGTTGACCCGTTGCGGTCGGGTGTGGATTCTGATGTCTGGTGGATTCAGACAGATTGTATTGGAGGGGGCTCATAAGTCTCGCTTTTCTATTCACTCGGGGGCCACCAAGATGTACCAGATGATCAAGGCCGAGCACCAGAGGCCGCGTGGCAAGTTGTAGCCTCAGGAGGTTCCTATGAGGAAATGGGAGCAGATCACGATGGACTTTATCACCAAGTTGCTGAGGACGGCTAAGGGATATGATGCTATATGGGTCGTCATGGATCGATTAACCAAGTGCGCACATTTCATGGCCATTCGGGAGAGTTCATCGGCCGAGAAGTTGGCTGATGTATATAACCGTGAGATCATTGCTCGCCATGGGGTGCCGATCTCTATTGTCTTAGACCATCATGTGCGATTCACCTCCTGTTTCTGGCAGAAGTTCCATGAGGAACTGGGCACGAGACTGCATTTTAGCACCGCATACCATCCGCAGACAGACGGCCATAGCGAGCGGACCATTCAGACCCTCGAGGATATGTTGGGGGCAAGCGTCATTGATTTTGGTGGGAGCTGGGACTCCTACCTACCCCTTTCAGAGTTCTCCTACAACAACAGATTTCACTCCAACATTGATGCTCCACCTTTTGAGTTGGTGTATGGGCGGAGATATCGTACCCCTGTCTGTTGGGGCGAGGTTGGTCACAGGGTGATGAGTCGGACCAAGGTGGTCTTGCAGACTACCGAGATGATACAACAGATTAGGCGGCGATTGCAAACTGTTATGAGTCGGCAGAAGAGTTACGCCGACCGGCGCCGATCTGAGTTGGAGTTTCAGGTCGGTGACATGGTGTTACTGAAGATCTCACCCTGGAAGGGTGTGATCCGTTTCAGCAAGAGGGGAAAGTTGAGTCCCCGATACATTAGGCCATTCTAGATTATTGCCAAGGTTGGCAAGGTCGCATATAGACTGGATCTTTCCGAGGAGCTCAGTTATATGCACAACACTTTCCATGTCTCACAGTTGCGGAAGTGCATATTAGAAGAGGATGTGATAGTGTCATTGGATGACATTCTTGTTGATGAACGCCTGAATTTTGTTGAGCTGTAGGTGGCTGTCTTGGAAAGGAAGATAAAGGTTCTGTGTAACAAGGAGATAGCTTTGGTAAAGGTACAGTGGCAGCATCGGAGAGGGACCGAGTGGACTTGGGAGCCGGAGGCCGAGATGCGGGAGCATTATCCAGATCTGTTTACCGCAGCAAACTTAGAAGACGATGTCTAGGTCAAGTGGGTGAGAGTTGTAACATCCCAGAATTTGTAGGTATTTTCAAATCCTCCCTTTATTATTACCTTGTCATTTTTAGTCCTTGGGGATGGAAGGGTGTAGCCATGAGATTCCCTAATGGCTAATATTGTAATTTTGGATTAGGAGGAGTACGTTGAGCGTACATAAGTGTACGCGGAGCGTACTAGGCGCGCCTTAGTACGCTGGGCGTACTCACGTCAGGTGGAAACCCTAATATTTAGGGTTTGGGTGGTATATAAGTATCCTTATGACCTCATAACCCTCTACCAATTCAGCCTCCATAGTGTTTACCCGTTTTCCCCAAACACTAACCTATCTCTTGAGTGTATTAGCTAAAAGTGTGTGTTTTGAGTAGTTGAAGAAGAAGAAGTTGCATCAAGGTGTTGGAGAAGTGAGGCAAGCTTGAAGATCTGAGATTATCTTGTCCTCTAGAAGCTCCAGGAGGTAAAAAGCTTATGCCTTTGTGCTTATATGATGTAGATCTTGCCTTGATAGCTTTATGACACCTTTCTTGTCCCAAAAAGTCCCAAGATTGTGCATGTTATGTTTTGGATGTGTTAAGCTGTCCTTTCAGACCCTAGGAAGGGTTCTAATTGATAAAAATGAGGTCCCAATGGCTAAAAATGTCCCATGCAAGTGGTAGAAAGATCATAATGGATTAAGACCTTGCATTAAGGACTTTCTAGACGTTCAAAGTCTTAAAGTTTGAGACTTTATGGTGTTGAGACACATTTGGTCGATGGATCTGGAATTTGGGCTTACGTACTTAAGCCATTAAGCACTTATTTGAGTTTTGAGTACAGTAAGGGTACGCCCCGCGTACGCATCCAACGTCCCCGTTTTCCAGTCAACGTGAGGCTCACGTACGCCCCGCGTAGCTGCGGAGTACGCCCAACGTACGCCCTCGGATGAGTTTTTGCGAGTTGGGCTTCAGATTTGGGCCACCTTTGGGCCAGCTGACTTGGACTCTTATTGGGCTTTCTAATTAGAAGTGTTTTGGGCCAATTTTGGAAGTGGATCTTAGGATGAGGCCCATTTAGAGAGTTGGGCCCAATTTGGATAATTGGGCCAATTATGGGCCTTGTATATTGGGCTTTTGGATTAAGGAATTGGAGTTGGGCCGTGCCAAGGAAAGGATATAATGGATTATTACCATATGTTTGGACCCTTAGCCAAGATTGGTATTCAACTGTTGACTTAATGTTCGTTTATTTGATAGTTTGGCATTGTGAGGTGAGTTCTTCTCACTATATCAACAGGGTCTAAGGCATCAAGGGCGACCGTTTTTGGATTGTATCCTGGTTATAGGATGATGCTATGTTTTTTGATCTGTTAGATCTGTATCCTGGTATATTGGATGATGCTACGTTTAGTGATCTGTTAGATCGGTATCCTAGTATATAGGATGATGCTATGATTGGTGATCTGTTAGGTCTGTATGACTGTCTGTACATGCTAGCTAGTGTATGATATTTATGTATTGTTTGTTATGTTGCGGGTGGGTTGAGGCTGTCCTACTTTGTGCTCTAGGCCAACAGACCCAGGGTGGCCCGGATAGACTGAAGGCCCATCGGGGCGTACCAGTCTGGCCGAAGGCCCGGAGAACGGTCGAGACAGGCTGAAGGCCCGGTAGGGCGGACCAAATATGCTGAAGGTTCTGAGAGTGGGCCAGATAGACTGAAGGCCCGGTGAGGGCAGTCAAGTCATACTGAAGACTCTATATGCATGTTGTTTGTTATGATATTGTTCTGGTTTGTATGGCGTTGGTATTTTGGGGGAACTCACAAAGCTTCGGGCTTACAGTTGTGGATTTTGTTTCAGGTACTTCGGATGATCGCGGGAAGGCGAATGTTTGATCGTGCACCTCATCACATTTTATGACTTTGATTTCTGGGATTCTCTGATATGAAACTATTTTGAAAACATTTTTTAATAACTAATGGTTTTGATGATTGAAAAAGTTTTAAATCTTCATGAATTTTATGGATGTTACATTTTATTACTTAAAAATGAAGTAGATTGTTGGGTTTTTTTGTGTTAGTTTTAAAGTATATTGTCAATCTTCGTAAAATATAGAATGCTTTAGTTTTTGAGGTTACTTTATAGTCTCTGCACATATCCAGATACTATTGATTGGATCGCAACATTTGAGAAGGTCTTAGGTGCTCGAAGGGGGCATGCAAGAGGCATTGGGCCTAAACCTCCCTCTGCAGCGGGTACAAGTGCTCCATCCTAATGGCAGTCACAGTCACAAGCGCCACAACCAACACATGTACTTATTAAATTGTTAAAGAATTTGGTAGTTTTGCTATATTGTTAAGAACTTAATGCGTTTAATTTTTGGTAGTTTGGTAGTTTTTGTAGTTTGTTAAATTGTTAACGACTTAATTCATTTGATGGTTTGATAGTTTGTTAAGTTGTTAATGACTTAATATGTTTGTGACATAATTATAGGATGTGGATGTGAATGCTTTTCTTCAAAACCCGGCGTTCGTGACGCTAATTGGAGATATCATCCGCTCGTTTAAGAACTAAATCAATAATGGGGAAAACAACAATGAGGAAGAAGAATACGTCTAGTATTTCTTGTTTTATGTTATGGGTGATGGTATTTTTGATTTATTAGATAATTTATAAATACTATATTCGATATTTATTTTTGATTTATTAGATAGTTTATGTAATGTGATATATTTGATGTTATATTTAATGTGGTATGTATTGTTTTATGTTATTTGATGTTTTATTCAACGTGGTATGTATTTATTTCTGTATTTTTATAAAATTTGTATTTTATAATATAAAACTAGTATCATATATAAATTGTTTAAAAAAAAACATTAGGGGCGACAACATTTGCGACGACATGCGCCAATTGTGACGACACCTACCTCCAGAAAGCGTTGCCGGAAAAAACTCCGACCGGTGGCCGGAATACTAATAGAGGCGATGCTAATAGCGACGACGAAGCCTTTTCGCGATGACAAGTATTAGAGACGACAATAATTGCGACGACAACTGAATATTAGCTACGAGATAATATCGGCGACGTTTTTTGTCGTCGTTATAGGTAAGGTCTTTTGTTGTGGACTGCTTCTCCACTATCGTCAAAAATACATCTTTAGGAATGGCTTGGTAGATCGTAGACGGAAGCCATTTCCATCTTATCTTTCTTGGATGACGTCCCATACTTCTTGGGCCTACATGTAGATCTTCATATTTATAGACCATCTTGGGTAATTCGTCTTTAGACAACATTAGATACTATAAGTAACTTAAGTAACCGATTCTTCTTTGTTTGCCAGAGTAGCACCAATCTGATACCAGTTATTGGGTTAAACCTCGATGAATCTTGTATTATGAACATGGGAGAAAAAATGAATACAGGAAAATAACGGAAAAGATAGATGGTTTTTCAATGCTTAATTTCTTATGCAAAATCAGAAAACGTACAAATATTTATAAAAAAAATAAAAAGACTCCTAGACTTGGTAAACAAGCAAACATCTCCTAATTATATTCAAATTCCTATTTCCTTATTATTCTGGATTATGGCTACACATGCTACCTTGATGCAATAAGCATATTACATATGGTTTAATATTAATAACAAATTTCTAAATGAGAGGTGTTCGTTTATATGAAGTTCCAGACATTAAATATGTTAACGCCTAGTTTCATCATTGTTTAGAGGTTATAAACGAGGATGTACTTCAGTAATAAGTGACGTCTCAGTTCCCCAAACAGTCGACTTACTTATACTGTTATCTGGTTCTAGCATTTTTGAAGTCATGCGTCTAGCTCTACCATGAGACACAAATGGAGGACTTTCAGGCAACGGTAAAACAACCGAGTAGCTGTTGAGCATGATGACTACAGAAGCCATTGAAGGCCTTAATTCAGCATCTTCTTGAACACACAATAAGGCAATATTGATGCAGCGTAAAACTTGGTTTTTGGAGCAAGTCTCAACAACATTTGGATCGACTATCCATAGTGGTTCTCCGTGCTTCCATTTATCCCATACCTGGAAAAGTATATTTTAAAGGCAGGTTACCAAAATAGTTAACATGAATATTAGCTATTTGTTACTATTTATTATTGATTGTACTCACATGACATAGAAGGTCCATATAACCAGATTCAAAACGTGCTGCGTTTTTCTGTCCACTAATAATCTCAAGAACCAATACACCAAAACTGAACACATCTGATCTCACAGAGAAGTTTCCATGCATTGCATACTCTGGTGACATGTATCCACTTACAAAAAAGAAACATAAATTCAAAAGCATAACTTTTATAGTAATTGTGTCATGTCATGGTCTACTATCTGTTTTAAAATGGAAGTTAGACAACTTACATAGTTCCAACAATTCTATCTGTCTTTCCTTGTGTTTGATTTCCGCAGAAAATTCTTGCCATGCCAAAATCTGAAATTTTTGGATTCATTTCTTCGTCTAACAATATATTGCTAGCTTTGAGATCCCGATGGATAATTCTTAATCTAGAATCTTCATGTAGGTACAACATCCCTTTAGAAATTCCTCCAATTATTCTATAACGTATTGACCAATCCAATTGTGCTTGTTTTGTGGAATCTGAATTATTATTATTATAAATGTGAGCTTTAAAACAAATAAATTGGTATACGACCATATTCAAGTATACAATTCAACCAAACATATAATTTAGGTTTTGGAAGCTTCCTTGTGACAAAACGGGAAATACTAATCACGTAGTGGACACGTCAGTTCCAGGTCAAATAAATATCTTATCAACTCGTTTAGTTTGTTGGTCCAAAAGTTATGATAGAATAGTTTCAGGACCACATTCTCAAAAATAAGAAAGACCGAATAATAGCTATTAAAAAAGAAATATATACGGTCTAAAACAAAGGTGCATGTGTCCAATATGCAAGTGGCATCTTATGCTAAATGGAATTTTCTAAAGTGAGTTCATAATAGCTAGTTAATTAAATGTCAAAAATACCTTCAAGACAAATATATGTATGTGATCTTTTGGTCTAACAAAAATATAACTGAATATTTTGAACATGGGTTGAAGACTTAATACTAACTGTTTGTGTTTTATTGCCTCTGTTTCACTTCGTAAAAAAAGGCCTTTGATTCAATTTAAACTTTCATGTAGATGAAAGCGGTAAATATTCATGCAACAAGAAGCTCATAAACTCTTTAATGGAAGGTGAAGGTTTCTAGGCTAACCAAATAGAAAGTAGTCAAGACTATGGTTAGGAACATATTCGTATATGAGGATCTTCTCTTCCCCTTCAAGGCAAAATCCCAAAAGTCTCACAAGATTTCTGTGTTGAAGCTTGGCGAGCAACACAACCTCATTCTTAAACTCCAATGCACCTTGTCCCGAAACTTTTGATAGTCTCTTCACAGCAATTTCATTGCCATTAGCAAGAACTCCCTATCAATACATACCAAGTGACAACAAGTAATTCAAAAGATAGTTACATTTTGTTCACTATTAAAGTAAATGAAATGATTTACATAACGTACCTTATATACTCCACCAAACCCACCTTCACCTATTTTATTATGTTTGGAGAAGTTGTTTGTAGCTGCTTCGATTGTACGCAATTCGAATTGTAGAGATTCCTCGGTTATAATTTCACTATCATCTAAAAGAACACATTTGCTATTATATTTGTCGCATGAAAATTGAAATTAACCTATAGATGCATTCATGTTGCTGGAAAATACAAATTAAAATACTCACGCACGGATGCATCCTCACAGAATTTTCTATAAAAAACATATGCTAATTTACTCATCCTAGTGTTTTTCCTAGAGAAACGTCTTTCCATATCGGTGTGTTTTCCTAGCTAGAGAAATTTCATTCCAAATCGTGTAATAGAATGTAAGTATATAATTTCTACATACCAGTTAATGTGAGAGCACGTCGTTTCTTCCTCATGAACACAAGGTACATGCACACTATCACACATAGAACACCAATCGGAGCAACAATGCCTGCAACTATATTTATTGAGATGTTATTTTTCCCTGCATGTGAAAAGTAACATATAAACTTAGAAGTTTGTCACTTTCTTCCATTGATTTCAGGAACCAAGAATACAACGTTCAAAAAAATGCGCACTTTGTTTGCAATTATCCCACTTCAACTACAAGGAAAACATTAAAGGATATAATAAAAACTAAATATAGTATAATAATAATACATATCAAAATATGAGAAACCTGCATAACCCATAAATAGTTTTTAGCGAGAAAATCATGAAACCGCACTCAGGCACTCAAATCCACAGGGAAATATATTTTGTGGCATCGGGTAAACAGGTAGTTGAACAATATTTTGAAAACCATTGATGAACAAAAAAAAAATTATTTCATCAACTACATCATATATATTCAAAAAACACTATTAGCTATATCATATATATTACTAAAAAAGGATCAACGAGTTTTCTATCAAACCTGTTGACGTTGACTCCGATGAGGTTGCTGAGAATCGGAGGAACTTATACATCTCGAATCTAACATTGCAACTCGGGGTCAAAACTCTTGCCCCTTGTTTTCCAAGACAATACTCTCCCAAACGATCAATGCTAACTTGAAAGCATCGACCACAGTCAAAACCCGATAAATCTGGTGTACACTGTACATAACCATAAACCTTTTCCTTCTTATCGTAGCTTAACTCGCTAAATGCAAACTTCTTTTTTGGATCAGTTGAAGCCTCGGTTGCCAATCTGCTCATGAAAACCCTAGCAGCTTCCCAAAACCGACTTTGCTCTGATAACTGTTCAGAAATATTAATCTTGTTGCACTCAGGCACAAAAGTAGCTGGATCCATCATCGACAACATTGAATAATCGGCATAGTGTAACATGCAGTCATCCTTCCAATAAACTGCATGTTTTGATGATGGGCATGTCTTAATGATATCTTGACGGGCTTCAAGCAAGCAGTTACGACAGTCATTTGGGAGAACATCCTCCCGACAAAGGTAGACACCATATACGATGTCTGGATGGCTACTTCCAGCAGTATGATATGCGAATTTGCTTTCATTGACTGTGTTATCAGCAAGTGAATCTAGAACTTGGATGAGATTTATATAATAAGTGGTGTTTGTGAAACGGGTTGTGTTGTGGCCACAATATTGTGTATTAAATTCAGCTGCTGTGGCTATCGATATTACAAAAGGTAGCCAAAGCAAATGAAGGGAAAGAAGCATATTTTTTGAGGCGCGATGGAAGGTTTTATGTTCCTTTTGGCGTTCTTAATTTTCTTTTTGTTATGCGTAGGACAAAGGGGATGAATGGTGTGCTAACATTCACTTGGTCAAAGGTGGTCCTAACTTTCTTTTAGACAAAGTTACATAAAAGGTCCTTGTGTACACCTGCAAGTTCTTTTAAATAATTTTTAAAATGGTCGGTCCATTTGCGAACTGGATTTGACATGCACAATATGAAGAATGACAATCGACAAGATCAATGTAACGTTTATACCCAATATATAAATCATGAGAAGTAAAACAAAATCAGTAGGAACGTTCATTTGCTCGACTACATAAGCAAATTTAACTAATCTACCCTCTAAACAGTAAAGATCATACAAATAAGATGTAACGTCCAAAAAACTCATAATAAAATTTTCATTTCCAAAATAATAAACCTTACAATGGAGTCATACCAAAATAATTCAATGTGAATATATCATTAAAACATCAGAGCAAGAATGACGAATAACCAATGCGGAAACTTTGAGGGAGGTTGTGCAGTCATGTCGGACGCTTCCCTTTGGAACTGAAATTACCTGAAATAATAGACATAAAACCATAAAAAAAAAAAAAAAAACTTACTGAGTTCCCAAAATATCATATAGCATACATAGAATAGAGAATGTTATGTACTAACTATAATCATACAATTACTATCATGCCATGAGCCGTATCATGGTCTTTCTTGGTAAGCCGGGGGCAAAAAACTCAGGTATTACAAATAAGTACCAAGAGCCACCTCCTAGTCTTCCATGCAAACATCACAAATACAACTATTATCTTATATATATATGGACAAATGACTTAAAAGCCCAAGGAAGTTTCCAAACCATTCAAAAAACCACAATCATATTTTGTTTGTTAAAAAAAAACTCAACGAACTTAACATTTTGTGTAAAAAATCCAACAAAGTTCCAAACCGTTCAAAAAATCTCAATTTTGTTTTGTTTATGTTCGTTGGATTTTTATTGAACAGTCAAAATATGATTGGAGTTTTTTAAACGTTTTGGAAACTTCGTTGGTCTAACAAGTCATTTTCCCGATAGGGTAATAAGCCACGTCATCTATTTCTATTATTTGACTTTCAGGAAAGTGTAACTTAGTTGGGCTTTTTAGATTAAATGTTAAATTTGTTGGGTTTTTCTGAACAGACAAAACATAATTGAAGTTTTTTGAACGGTTTGGAAACTTCGTTGGGCTCGTAAGTCATTTTCCCATATATATATATATATATATATATATATATATATATATATATATATATATATATAATATTAGATATCTCTTAAAAGTTTTAAGAGGTACAACTACTGTAACATTAAATACTTACTTTCCCCTTTGTCGACACACTACAAGAATAAGCATCTATAGGGACGAGGTCTATAGGGACGACATTTGTCGTCGCTATTGGCTACCTATAGGGACGACATGTCATTGCCATAGAGTTGACGATTTTTTTTTTTACTTTTGAGGCTACAACGACTTCTCGTCGCAGTGTGTTAAGCGGGAATATATGTGGATTCAGCGCGCCCTTCACGGAAATAAAGCTCGGACGTGGAGAACTATAGGGACAACTTGTCGTCCCCATAGATTACTATTCCCAACATTAGGAGAGCATCCCCTTCGTTTCATTCATGCACACTCAATCCTCAGTATCTCTCTCTCTCGATCGATCGATCGACAATTCACCCCTGGCGACTTCCTCACCTGCCACTCCCGGCAAATCTTCTTACTAACTCACGATCCTCATGTTAGTTGTGGAAGACCGCCGACGATTACCTTCAACGCCGACGATTCTAACTACCAGCTTCATTTTCACCTCCTGTTACAAATTCTAAATAATACAAGCCCCACTCCGGTGACCTAGGTTAGTGTTCAATTATTGGGAGCCTCTTCATTTCATCCTCTACAAATCAGGCTTTCAGACTTGGGAGTACAGGTATTCTCCATTCATTTCAGACATTCGTAATGATTCTGTAAACGTGGAACAGTTGTGAATTTACATTTAATTCAAATGAAGAGTATGCCTTTTGATTTTATGTTTTTGTTTACAGGTACTCTGATTTTATAGTCAATGAAGTGGATTTGGATGGAAATGTTGTTCATTTGACTTCCTTAGATGCACCAATGGAGGTCTGGTACCATCTCTTATCATCTAATTCACGATCATTTCCATTCATCCTTACATTTGAGTTTAACGATCTACATTTTTTCGATTCAGACAACAGAGGAACATGAATCAAAGACTACAAATCAACCAAATGGTAACCATTGTAGTGAAATTGAATCGTTTAGAGCCCTAGTTGGTGACTCTGATGCCAACTCCCTGAAGGAGTTTATAGATAAGATAAATTCAAATGATGAAGATGGAGTTATAGTTACCAATACCTCCATTGTTCTTTCTCCAAGTTCTGATAAAGTTCATCTCACAATAGGAATCTCTTGTCTCAATGTTTCTTTTAATCAACTATAGCTAATCAATAGTATGTGTATGTGTAATTTACTAATAATTTGCTCCCTTTAGGTAGTTCATAATTTTTTTAAAGAGAAACTCAAGTTCTTGGTTACAGATACAGTAGATGGACTTGAATCCTCATCAAATGCATATATGTGAGATTGAATTCAGGGGGGAATAATGAAAGAGGCAGAGGTAATAAGAAGAGGAAAGGAAGAGATGAGACTCCTTATGACAGTAGAGGTTCAGATCGTTGGCCTGAGCATCTTGGAAAGTTCCTCAAGTAGTATCTATTATAGCAACATACTTTCATATATTTGTTTATTATATCATCTTATTTCCTTTCATTAATGACAATGTTTTACTTTTGAAGCTTTATATTCTTTATTAATGACAAATTTTTTAAATATTCATCTCTAGATTTCACCTTTGTAAGGAAAACAAGGATACACAAGAGGCATTAGGGGTGATTGGAAAGATGCTTGGCATTCAGGTTATTGTACTTACACATCATTCTGAGTAATTCAATCGAATTGGTATTTTTTTTTTTATAGGAGACTAAATGTGCTTTTATGCAATAATGTTTCACATTCTTCCCAATTTATACAACAAAGTGGATTTTTATATGAAATATGCAATGACATTTCTTTTAAGACCTAAAGATGCAATATTTTACCTGATTATTAATTTTACTTTTTACAGCCTAGGGCATTTGGATTTTCTGGTACAAAAGATAAACGTGCTGTAACAACTCAAAGGGTAAATATTCTTTTTGTATCAACCATATTAATTTACACAAAAATGATAACTTATACATTGCAAGTGTTTTACGTTTGAGTTGTTACAGCACGCTTATCGTCCTCTTCCTCCAAAGATGCAAGTGTTATACATTTTCTCTCTATCTATGAAGTCTAACATTTTGGCATACTTGAAATCTCAGGTCATTGTATTTAAACAGCGTGTAAACAAGGTGGCTAATCTAAATAAAAGATTAATTGGAATTAAAGTTGGCGACTTTTCGTAAGTGCACTGAATTTTTTTTTATTTGTTTATTTTTGTTTATAAACAGCGTGCAAACAAAGTGGCTAATCTAAATATGTCTATTTTGGAAGGAGGTACAGAAGGATCACTGCCAACATCGCGTAGAAGATCTCTATATACATTGTCAATCTCCATGATAAGCATCTCTTTTAAAGCTTTTGGTATTGTCCCACTTGTCCTACTGGCTAAGGCGGCACTTTCTAATATGGTAAGAATTTGTCTATAAATAACTAAAATATCATTTTTACCCTTGTGTAAAGTATAAAACTTTATGGTGTCATGCAACTTGATCTGTACCTGTGTTTGGTTGATGATTGCAAGTTGACCATTAGAGATGGATCAGATCAGATTCAGATTAAGGTTGGTTCTAAAGAGAATAATAAGGCTGCACAGAAATCCCTGTCAGCAGAATCACTGGCTGCTGCAGTTGTGAAACACTTGGAAACTGTCGCAGGGGTAAACCTGTCATTTTATTTACTTGTGGATTAACTTAAACATTGCAAGTGTATATATTGACTCAGAATGTGTTTATATGTGCAGACTGAAATAACTTCCATTAAGGAAGAGTTGATTCACAAATTTGTGCCTGATGATGATGTATGTCCTACGAAATATGGGTTGGCTGATATCTTACAAAATAAGGGTCGCTTCAAAGATGATGTAAATCAAATCCTCTTGAAAATTTATAATTTTGCTTTTTTATTTTTTTAAACCGTTTTACATATGATGTGTTGATTTCTGTAGGTTGCTCCACTCTTTTCACTTGATGATGATACCACTAAAGCAGATTCAGA